CTGTGTGAAACAGTGAAACCAAAAGCCGGAGCATCTTCTGGTTCCAAAGGAAAAGATGAGAGGATACCTCTTATGTTTGTTTCGATTGTGCAGGCCTGCAACAACTGCCCAGAAGACACTTTTTGGGATAAACATCATTGTACAGATTGACTGCTTTTATGGCAGAAGCTGGTGACGATTTTGCAAATCGTGTGGCCTCCTATAGCTATCCCCCACCAGGCATGAGTGTCTGGCCAATGGTTGTTGCAAAAGGGGACTAGACATCTGATGAATGTCTGAGTTTGGGGTGTTGAGCAATAGTAAGTAACTCTTTGACTGAAATTATGATTGTAGGTGTCAACCTTGCAGTGACAAGAGGTGGTGAAGGCGACAGGTACAGGATATGCGGCACTGGCTGGCAAGGCGCTGTCAGGTAGGTAGAGACTGGAATAGGTGCGCAGCTGTGGTGAACAGGGATCAGTTGCTATGGGATGACTGTTACAGGTTTTTCCAGCTCCAGAAATTCCAGTTGCGCCGGACACTGGAAAAGCAGGGCAGATGTACAGCACAGTCGAACAGATGTGTTCCCAAAATGCCATGCTGTCCCATTTGGTCTGGGGCATGGGGGGCATGTATGTGTTGTCCCAAGGCAGTGATGGGGGCACAGAATTATTTGCCTCTTCCCAGCACACATCAGGGTGAAGAGAACAGGCGTGGGCAGACTGGCCTGAGCTTGAAGCATGTAAAATGTGTGTATGCATATTGTGAGCACACAATAACTACGTGGGTCTGTGCTTGTGACGTGTGATTGTGTGCTGCAGCCCAGCTTTGCTGCAAATTTGATGAGGCTGGAAATCCATGGAATGGTACTTTTGTTCATTCCAGGTAGGCCGGAAAGGAATGACTTTGTATGAGTAAGCTGAATGCCAGCCTGCATAGTGTCCGCATCTGTGGATCGGGAGTGGCTATTGCCCTTTATTTCGTATCTGGGGGCGCAGGGCTTGCCTGGAAAGCAGTTCTTTTTCTTGTGCAGGAGTCTTTCATCGACAGAGAGGGCACATACTTTTCTCCCCATTTCACAGCCTCGTGGTACTCATGTGCAGCGAGGTAGCTCAGTGGTTTTCGATATATTGTTGTGGCAGGATGTGGGAATGGGGAGGGAAGCAGGGGCAGCATGTAAGCACATGTGCTGGAGATCGCAGCGCTGTTCTTTCCGGCTATGTTCCAGTGATAGGAAGTTGTGATTTGCGCAGGCGAGGTTCCTTGGTTTCTGGGTTACAGTTGGTTTTGTGCTGTTTTCTCGTTTCTTGTCTTTACCTCCTATGCAAGCATACAGATTCTCTGATCATTGAGATTGACAAATGTTCCTCTGTTTCTGATTTGCTGGCTGCCACAGTCTGCACTGATCTTGTCTGTCTTCGTCACACTGGTACAGGTGCGTTGTTATTAGCGTCGTTCTGCTCTCCTCACTTTTTCCCTTGCCTAGGACTGTGTTTTTGGTCTTCATATTCAGCAGCTTCAATACAGGGGTGTTAGCTTTTTCTGGCGTGATGCGCTGTGTTTTTGGTCTTCATATTCAGCAGCTTCAATACAGGGGTGTTAGCTTTTTCTGGCGTGATGCACAGTGTTTGAGATTCTGAGATTCGCTGCTGCGTCAAGTGTTGGATGGTGTTTTTGGTCTTCGTATTCAGCAGCTTCCTTACAGGGGTGTTGGCTTTTTCTGGCGTGATTCACAGCCGGGGTTTTGTGTTCGAGATTCTGAGATTGGCCGCTGCGTCAAGTGTTGTGATCTCTCCCCTTGCTCCAAACCTTCTGCGCCGTCACCACCACGAGCACCTGACACCTGCTTTAGTAAGTGTCGGTTTTAGAGATGATTTCCTGGCCTCCATTTGTTGGTGGGGCGAAGGGAGCTTGCATTTCTGATCTGGCTGTGTGGTGCACTTTTCTTCGTGTCCTTGATGGGGTATAGTTTTCTCCCCTTGTCAAACATGTTCTCTTTCTACTATTTATGTCCTTTGGGTTTTCCTCTAGTTCTGTTTACTTTCTTCCCTATGCGAATCCATTGGTTCTTTGTCATTTACAGCTGCAGGTCAGATCACTGTGACAACCGGTGCACTGGGGCCCTCAAGGCTGGCATGTCAGTCAGTCAGTTCCAGAGACAGGCTTTTGGTTTTTCCACGTCATAATCTCTTTGGCTTCCGTGTAGGTCCTCAGCATCTTCTGTAGTTGAAGCTGGAGCGAAACATATGAGGAGACCTTGTTAAACCACCAGTACTTCCTAAACTTGTGCCCGTTAACAAGCCACAATTTTAGGAAACGTACCGGCCACAGCAGGAGCGCCCACAGCAGGAGCGCCCAAATTCATCCGACTAGAGACGTTTCTACTCCGTTTTTTCTTCTGTGGCCAATAGCTGGGCCACGTACTGGTGGTTTAATGCTGGGCTTAAAACCAGTGGTACACACTGGCCTGGAGGCACTGCACTGTGTGCCGAGCTTTCCCGACCCGCCCGTGGCGTGCACTTTTTCTTGTTTGGCTGGCGCCGCCAGCCATTGTTGTCGGGTAGCCCAATTTTTCATAGGTGACGAACTGCTTTGTCTGCAAGGCTGGGGCCTTGTACTGGCGGCCTAAACCACCTCTCCAGCGGACCCGATTTTGTGGTGTGAAATTTTCCGCTCCTGAAGGAAGCGAACTGGCCCCATTAGGCATGAACCCTATTATGTTGAACCTATTTTTTTTCTGTTCCTGAACGAATCGAACCCCTGGCCGCCAGTCCGGGACATTGAAAATGCAGCCTGCTTCTCAACTACTGCAAACTTTGGACGAGGGGCCCTGGAAGAAGTCGGTTTAATGAAATTGTTGCCCTAAAAAGCGTGGAAGGGGATGGAAGGCTCGTTTCACCGAGCTGCAGAACATTGCTGGACTCTGGGATTCCAATTATGGTACTCGGAGGTTGGCCTCTCACATTTTTGGGGAAGCAATTGTACGTTGATTGAATCGTACCTCAAAACTGACGCAAGAGAACAAGTACAGTATGCTAATTCGAAAGAGATAACCGTGTTGAAGGAACTCGGCAAAATGACTCCGTAACTTTGGGAGGAGTGCTTTTCTTTGCAAAAACAGGTACGTAGCGGAAGATTCTATGTTGGGTCACTGAACATTTGACTTGACCTGGTAGGTCAGTCCTTTGCGTTAATTCTGTGAACATCCTCCGCTCCTCCTGAATGTACGTACCTGAAGATTCTATGGTAGGTCTCTGAGCATTTGACGAGGTCCTTTGCACAAAGCATTTGGAATTCGTTGTGATCCCAGACTCTGGTAGGCCGTTGCGCAGTCCTTTATGCCAAGTATTCAAACGTCCTCCGTGCTTCCTGAATGTACTTACTGGAAGATTCAATGGTAGGTCACGGAACACTTGACACAGGCCTTTGCACGAAGTATATGAAATCATTTTTTATCCTGGAATCTGGTAGGCCACTGAATACATTGTGCAGTCCTTTGCACCAAGTATTCAAACATCCTTTGCAGTCTTTGATTTTGCGTACTAAACCTTCTTTGGAGAATCTTCCTCGTCTCCTCATCTTTGACTATGTTCTTTCCCATCCGTTTGCGTCTGGAGCTACTGTGAAAAGTCTGGGAGGAGGTGCAAGGGCGACAACCATCACTCCAGGAGTAAGGTCTTCAGTGTCTAGCCTTCTTTTGAGTGTGTGGTGATCCTTCCCATGGCGAATGGAAGGGTTCTGTACTGCATTGAGATGACAGTGGCTTATACTGGACTGCTCCGGTGACCTCTGCCAGGGGCTTTCGAAATCGGGCTGCAAAACTGCAACTGGCCTCTTCCATGCTTTCAGAAAGGGGTTGAATGAAAGAGATGGAGTATTTGCTCTTTGAGGGAATCAGAACAGTTGAAGTGTCCACTGATACTGTGGTCAGCGGAGGAGGTATTGTGTGCCACAGTATGCAATAGAGGTAAGGGAGGATGGGCAGGGGGAACACTAGCATGTGCAGCTTTGGCAATGTACCTTCGAATTTGCACTGAAAGTGGGCGTTTTGCAGAACTTGAAGTTTTTGTGGTGCACGGAGTTGCAATGTACAAAGGAAATTTCCTTGGGACCAACAGTTGACAACCCCGGCCGTGAAGAACGGGTCATGGAGTTCTGACATGAGCACTGCTGGCAGCAAGCTAGGGCTGTGCTTCCTGTGAAGAATCTTCCTCTGAAGTTCTTAGATGAGGTCCTGAAGTCTTAAAGCACTGGTCTGGGTGGAGTGCTAGTGCAGTTCGCTGTGGGGGCAAGACTTCATGGTGGTTATCGATGAAGCATTGGCAATGTCAAGGAGGGAGAACTACAAATGATGATTTGTCGAAGATTTGTCAAGAAGGGAGGCAAGTTATAAATGATGATTTTTACCGAAGTGGAGGAAGATCAGGAAGGCTTCAACGCTGGGGTCAATATGGAAGACGTGTTATTGAAGCAGTGTTTAGGGGTATAGAAGCGCAAGTGTTTGACGTGCCTTTTCTGATCGTATCTGTGGCATTCAATGCAGTTGCTCTTCCGTGCCCCTGTCCTGCATTTGGGTTGTTACAATGTCCTCATGTTGACTTCTCTGCCAAACATGATCCGACTGTTTCAGTCCCCCGTGTTTCGACTGCTCCCTGCGTTCATTTTCTTTTTTCCAGCCTTCAAAGCAAAAAATGACATGCCTCTCCAGCCTTGAAAGCAAAGAATGACATGCCTCTCCTCAGCTGATGCCAATGCTTCTCACGTACTCGCATCTCTGTTCAACTGTGTTGTATTCGTTGTGCTTGACCTGAACGTTTTCGTTTCTACTTCTCATCATGAACTGAATGAGGAAGTTCTTTTTGTATTTTCATAGCAGGTTTTTGTAGGTACCTTCGTGGGCCATGGGTACACCATGGTGTTTTGTTATGTGATCCAGGACTAAGTTTATGTATACCCAAAGCAGCTTCTGTACATACATTCGTGGCCGACGCTACATCGCGGTGTCTTGTTATGTGGTCCAGGACTTCTATGAAGATGTGTTTGAAGAGCTGTGTAATTATGGGGAGCTGGAGTGCTTGCACGTGTGTGATAACCTTGCGGACCATATGGTGAGTTAATTTTCTCTGTGATCCATCAAGCACCGATGTCGTGCAATGCTATGTGTGGCATACAGCACTCTGGAGGTCCCTTTTGAAAGGCCTCATAAGAACTTTATAATATCCTATTTATGTAGGTGGCAATTGTGGAAGAGGACAAATTTGACTCGATGGTAGTAAAATCACCAATCTACATCTTCATCTACAAAATACTCTATATCCAACATCTACATCTCCAAAGTGGCCTATAGCCAACGCCTACATCTACGAAATATTCTTTAGCCAAATGGGCTGCGGCCGTAATGCTGCGGGCGAATATAAAATGCTTTTTGTGTTCTTTTGACCATTGGATCCTCACATGGCATCCACGACCGTCCAAAATGCTGGTTCACATGTGAAATGTGTGCACTCTGTCTAAGTGATGTGTATGGTTGTCCCAAGTTTCTGGCTATCGTCTGGCGTAGCCGTCGAAAACCGTGGATGCAGTTTTGCGGGGCCAATAGGATCAGATGGCACATACTTTTTTTGTTTTCCTTCGGTGGCATTTCGTTTGTGGAAGGGCCAACACGGCTCAGAAGTGTTTGGCCGCCTTTTGTTTGTTTTTCCCCTGTTGCAGCTTCGTCTGTCACATGGTTTTCTGTTTCTGTAGAGGTTCGTTGTGGAGGCGGGGTAGTCATTGTCAGAAGAGGCCATGGTTTGCGACTTGTTTTTCACTTTTTTCTCTTTTCATGGGCCCGCACTATCGCAACCTCATTTTTTCCCGTAGTGCACTCCGCACTTCCACATTGAGGACATTCTACAAATATAGCAGAGAGCAGTCGCGGGCACCAGTAATTCGCAGACAACCCAACCAGCCCTGGCTGAAGCCATGCCAGAGGAAACCTGTTGCAAGGGCAGCTGTGATCATAACTATACCTGCCTCATGAGCTAACCTGTGATGTCCCCAAGAAGATTACTCAAGCTACCACAAGTAGTGTCAAATGCCCTGTCCAACCTGCGACAGCCCAGGCCTTACCCGAGGTACACCCACCCAGCGCAGCCATATGTGTGTAGTCCATATGTCCTTGTCCCTACACTAATAAAATCGCTAGCGTCACAAATCTGAAGTCCGGGCTGTCGTGGTCCTACCGGACTGATGGCCCAGGTCGTCGAAGAAATGTAACAAATCTGTGATCTGGGCCATCGGGTGCTACCGGACTGACGACCCAGATTGTCGAATGAATGTAACAAATCTGCGATCTGGGCCGTTGGGTGCTACCGGATCGCAGTCTTAAGATCTTGAGACAGTGCCTGAATCTAGGCCGTTGGCCCAGTACCTTGGGCCCAACGGCCGAGATAGCGGGCAACTTTGGGTACCTCACGCTGCCTTTGTCCGTTGCAACGGGCCATTTCAATTGGCGCCTTGTTTTGTCCAACTTCGCGCCCAGGGTTTATGAGCTGTTGCTGTTGTTGTTCGTGTTGGGTACCGCCTCCATGGTGTCATGGATCGCCCTCCACATCGCGCGACTCTCTCTTTCTCACACACTCACGCACACACGCTGTCAGGCTGCAACCGCACACACACCCACACACAGAGTCCGACCCCAATGTTTGTGGAGGTGTATGCTGAACATGGCATCACACACACACACATTCTTTGGACTAATGTGTCCACCCACACTCGCGCTGCCTCCTGAAGACCACCGTCACCCTTCTATGCCCTCCGCCCTGCAGCCTGGTTTTGGCCACTAGCGCCCCGCTGCCCTGCAGCGCCCCTCACCACTCAGCGCCTGCACGCGCCCCTGCCAGCAGCGCATGCAGACACTTTCACGCTAACGCAGCAGCTTGCCCGCATTGCCTGCCTAGGTCAGAATGCCTTGGCCTGGCTGGCCTCCTCCCTATATGGGAGAGGTTGCTGCTGCTGGACTCTGGGCCTGGCCGTGGAAGTTTCCAGAGCTTCCGGTCGGGGCCCAGTGTCTGCGCCCAGGCCCATATCAACAGTTGAGGGCCTGGGCGCTTCACAGTTGGGCACACCCAGGATTATCCAGGCTTTGAATGTCTGCTGTGTTTGCATTGGCCCGGGGCTGGATGTGACGACAATGCTGCCTTCTCATTGGCCCGTGGCCACTTCGTGATGTGTCGGCCTCACGCTGCATGTGCTCAGGGCGCAACTACCTGCGTCCTGGGCTCAACTGCCTGATGCAGCTGCTTCTTCTGGAAGAGCCCAGGGTGAGGCCCAGGCTGCACTTCAACCAACTGGCGTGCAGCAATTGTCTGAGACCCACATTGAAAAATGCTGAGATAAAGGCCTCTTGTAGATATTCAGCCCCGCCTTCACTCAGGGTGGGCACGAGGCTTGCTGGGGCCGCAGTCCAGGACGTATGCTGTTGTCTAGGGACCCCTGAGGGCACATTCCTCACACAATCAATGTTGTGACACAGACTGAACATCATCATCATCATCATCATCATCATCGTCGTCGTCACACGGTGTGAGTGGCCTGGCGCCGAACTCAGGGATGAAGGGCGGCAGGCACAAAATCATGCACAGATGAGGAGGGAGGAGAGACGAAGGGGGGGGGGATATGGAGGATGTTGGCAACCCTAAATGTTGTTGATACCGATCCAAAAATAGTCCCCCTCAGTATCTCTGTCCCAATGTCAAGTCCGAATCCGAATGTTGCCAAATTCCATCGTCGCAAATCTCTCTCTCTCTCCCCCTCTCTCTCTCTCTCTCACACACACACACACACACACACACACACACACACACACACACACACACACACATAGTCCAACGAAGAAGAAGGGTGCCAGCGCGCTGGAGGGGGAGAGGAGGGCGATGGACCGGAGGAGGAGGGGGAAGAAGGTGATCTCTCTCTCTCTCGCTGTATACCAGGCACTGAGCTGCGAAAGGTGTCGCCTTGATGCACGTACGGACGCGCCGAAGATGAAGCTGGAGCGATGGTGCCATAGGTAAGTCGTCGGCTAAGTTCCCTGGCCTCTGCCATAGCCGGGCTTCTCCCTAACCTCCGCTGCAGTAGGCTGCAGTTTGAGCTCGTGCCGAAATCCTAACGCAGCACCCAGCGCTGGAAGTCTACCGGTACCCTATCATCGACTACACTACTACTGCAGAGTACCTCCACGGATGCCTACTCAAACTGAGGCCGGCCAGCTATATGCATCGCTGGTTTGGCCTCAGGTAGTGACCCGAGTGAAAAGTCCTGGCGCCTAAACTCGGTGCCCGACGGTACTGTGAAAAGAGTCTGGCGCCCGAACGGTACCGTGGCCTGGCACCCAAACGAAGGACGCCCAGGGCCTGTGCCTCGTACTTGGCGCCTAACTGCTGCAGACCCAAATTGGGGCCTGCATGACTGGGCCTAACTGGGCCCGGCGCTAACCAAAAGACGCGCCTGGGCCTACTACTACTTGGCCTAAACGGACCTCCCCTACTCCTACCGGGTCGGGCCTTGTGAAGAGCCAGTGTGAAATAGAGAATGTCACAGGTAGACTGCAGCGATGGCATTCGCCCCCCATAAGCATGCTTGCGTGCAGCCCTCTCCCGCCCACTGGACATGCTAATGCCGTCGGTACGCCATTTGCACCAACAAAACACAACACACTGCCAAGCGAAAAAAAAAAGGTCACAAAACATTCCCACAGCAGCTCCACGCAAGCTGGGCTGGTACCACTCAGTGTATGCACTATGCAAGCTGGCCTGGTACCACTCAGTGTATGCATTACAGAACCTCATCACTTGCTGTATGTCGTGCTGGGTCACACCTGCGATTCACAGTGCGCCACAGACGGAGATCCACTGGTCCATTCATGGGCTACCAGGTCGGTCCACCTACACCGCAAAGGGAGAAAGGGGGGGGGGGG